ACATTGACAGGAAGTTGCCAGAAATTTAAGCTGAATTCAAAATAGGACAAGGAACAAGGGATATCATTGCTGACATCAGATGGATCTAGGCTGAAAGTAGAGAATACCAGAAAGAAATTTACTTGTGCTTTATTGAGTATGCAAAGGCATTTGACTGTGTGGAACATAATAAATTATGGATAACATTGCAAAAAAAAAAAAAAAATAGGTATTCCAAAATACTTAATTGTGCTCATGAAGAGCCTGTACATAGGACCAAGAGGCAATCATTTAAACAAAACAAGTATGGTTTAAAATCTGTAAAGGTGTGTGTTGGGACTGTACCCTTTCAGGCTATTTGTTCAATCTGTATGCTGAACATTCGACGTGAGAAGACAGATTCTATAATGAATGTGGCATCAAGAGTGAAGAAAGACTCTTTAGCAACCTGCAATAGCAGACAACACAATCTTGCTTTCAGGAAGTGAAGAGGATTTTAAATACTTACTGATGAAAATCAGATTACAGCCTTCAATATGGATTGTGTCTCACTGTGAAGAAACCAAAAATCCTTACAATTGGACCAGTAAATAACATGATAAATGGAGAAAAACTGAAGTTGTCAAAGACTACATTTTGCTTGGATCTATAACCAATGATCATGGAAGCAGCAGTCCAGAAATCAAATGACATATTGTGTTCTGCAAATCTGCTCAAGACCTCTTTAAAGTGTTTAAGAGCAAAGATATAACGTTGAGGACTGAGATGTGCCTGACTCAAGCCATGGTATTTTCAATAGCCTCATATGCATGTAAAGAATCGATGCATTTGAATTAACTTGTTGGCGAAGATATTGAAAAATTCTGTCTGGTAAGAAGAGCAACCAGGATGTTCCTTAGGAGTGAGGATGGCGCGTCCTTATCTCTCTCGTACTTTGGACATGTTGTTAGAAGGGATTGATCTCAGCAGGACGCTATGCTTGGAAAAGTGGAGGGTCAGTGAAACAGAAGAGACCTCCAATGAGATGGATTGTCACGGTGGCAGTAACAATGGGCACAAACACTGTAGGACCAGTGAGCCAGACCCAGTGAGTGTTTCCTTCTGTTATGCATGGGGTCACTGAGTTGGAACCAACTTGACAGCACTTAACAATAAGGAGTCCTGGTATGGATTTGTAGGATAAGCACTGGATTGCTACTTACAAGGTCAGTGGTTCAAACCAACCAGTTGCTCCTTGGAAACCCTTTACAAGGTCATTATACATCAGAATTGACTTGATGGCATATAACAGCAGTGTTTCTTAGATATGGACAAAGCCTCAAGGTTATTAATTTTTGCTACAGATACTCTCAAGTTTTCATTTTATAGATTATTTTAGACCATTAGCCTAGTATTACTAATATTTCAACTCTATCAGTTTTAAGTTCTGAATCTTAAAATAAACGAGTGCCTAATTTTAATTTAAAATACAATCCAGAGAAACAGGTGAAACCATTTTTTTTGCTGTAAACTTTGCACTCTTGAAAATTTCAGTCTGTTTAGAGAAACAGACTGATAAAAATAAATCAGTATTGAGAGTTGTAAGAACAGTATCAATAATCATTTAGTCTCCGAAGCAATTCTGTGAAATATACAACAAAATCATAAGCAAAATGTCACCCTCAATTGCACAGTTGAATCCAGATCCTCAAGTGATACCACCTTAGCTCAAGTCGATTTTATCAAGAAATCAAATCGTTCCTCCAATATGGCTTTGCCCTATAGTTACACCCATCAACAATTTTCTATGGAAACTGGTGACCAGAGGACCGACTGTTAGGTAGGGCTGCACAAAAACCATGGTTTTGGAGGATCATTTTGTGTTTCTGTAAAAGTAACTCAGGATTGTTGATAGGAAAGGGCAGTTTGCCCTTGGGAAGAACACTAAGGTTGTTTTAAACAAGCCCTTTACATTGGGATTCACCCTATGTTGTATTTGCTAATCCTGTACTTTTAATTGAATTCTTATATACCAAAATTTTTTCTTTTGCTTTTGGTGATCCAGACTGCCTTGAATTTTAGGTTTGCTTTTGTGAAACATTGTAACAGTTTTCACAGGGGAGAAAAAATTTGATCTCCAAAATTTATCTGATTTTATACCCAAAATATTATATATTGTTATGTATTAGAGACATCAGTCTGAACCCTGTTAAAATTAATCAAACTTTACTGTCTAACTATTAACACATTTGTCACAGACTAAAGGAATGGAAATGTTTCCTTTGGGCTTGAAGCAGAAATGCCCTAGTGGGAAGAAACAGCAGATGGCTATTCCCACAATTTAAGTTTCATTACTTTGTATAAGTGAACCTTTCCATGTGTGGTAACCAGTTTTCCTTTGTAAGTGTATTTCTTTATTAGAGTTTCTGAATCTGTACTGTTCAGCTACATTAGTATGCTACTGCTGTTACAATTAACGGATATTGTACCGTTTACTTATGTAGCTCAAGAAGCAGATATGCTGCCCATGGAGTAAATCATCACATAGGGTTAGGTCATCTTTATAAAGAATGTTGTTAGTGCCATTGAGTTGGTTCCGACGAGGAGCAGCTGGTGAATTTGAACCACCGATCTTGCAGTTCAAACCAACCTTGTGGTCCAGTGCTTATCTTACATCAGGACTCCTTATAAAGAATAATGGTGCTTTAAAATTGCATTCCGCAATGTGATGTGCATTCGGCTCTGCTCAACTCCACTGTTAACTTGATGGAGATGTCCTTCCTATTTGAAGCTCCCGCCGACACCAGGTGCTGTCTGGTAGAAGAGTACCATCAGTTTAAGGGATTTGTTATGGCTGTTGTGTAGGAGTACAGCAAAGTCTGTTCTGATTGCCCTAAATCATCGATGTGATTGCCCTAAACCTCTCACCAACAGGAGGGAATGCCTTACAGCATGGAATCTGCACGCTTTTTGCCTTATAAACTGCAGCCAGGCAAAGCTTAATTCCATCTTGTGCCCAGGTGTTAACTGTTCAGACGCCGGTTTCCTCTTGGGTACTTCATGCACCTGTGACAGTACAGTACCTCTGGAAGTGGATTTGGGGGCAGAGGTTAAAGTAGTATGTCCCAAACCAATCACCATCTGGCTAGAACTTTATTATTTCAGAAATAAGCATTCTATATTCACATATGTGTCACGTAACATTTGTTCAGATGTTTAAACTGCATATATGCTGTGGTCAAATGAGGTTTGGTTTGTTTTTTTTTTTAAGTGAAAACAGTTTTTATGATTTCTCCTTAATGGTCTTAAAAACCCAAATCAGATTCTTACAGCCCTTGACCATGGCTGGGATAGACAAGGTGAGGCAGAGGACATGGCTCTCTGGGCCCAGCTCCTGGGCTCTGTCCGGTGGGCCAAGCAGGTGTGCTCTGTTCCCTCCCCAGAGTAACAATGAGGATGACTGGAAGCTGGCTCCTACAAGGTTTCAATACGATGTCTGCACAAGGTCCAGATCCCATAACATTCTAATTCACAGGATGTACTGTGGGCATTAAGTGACACATCTATTCTGTGAAATCAGTTGTCTTAAAAATAGATATTTTACTTTTATTTCAAGAGGCCTTTTTTATTTACAAACTTCTTAAATTTTTACAAATCTCAGAACTATAGGAGGATGAAGGGCAAAACCCTCTGGGAAATTACTTAAATGATAAAGCCAGTAGCTATTAAGTACTTCATCACCTAATTAAGTCTGTAAATTCTACATTCTTTTGAATTGGGCTCCCTCCCTGTTGATTTAGGGGGACTGTTATCCCAATTTTCAAACTGTTCATAGATTAAATATTGTATTACTCTTTTGAATTAATACATGAGTATACTTTTATCGGTACTTTGAGATGATTAGCATAGTTATTTCCAGATTACTGTTAAAAATATGGACAAAAATAAATGATCTCCATAAATATAATGTATTGCTTAGAGATGTCTGAAAATACCTTTTCTGCATTATAATTTTACAAATGTCACAAGGAAAGTAAGTAGTGGTCTAGTTAAGAGAAGAGAAATCCTGTTAGGGGAAACTCAAAAGAAGCATTCTCCCCACTGTATTTTTATTGATATATTTCACAAAGGCAGAACTAATCTTGTGTTGCTCTGTCACTGTGTAGTCTAAGGAAAGGGGAGAAGCAGTCTGAAGAAACAAATGGTTTCCATGGTGTCAAGTGGAAGCCACAGAACAGGCTTTACTTACTGATAAAGAGTTCAAAGCTTTAAGAGATGAGAAAAGCAAGCACATATTCTCTCAGGCATTTCTCAATAAATATGCAACAAAACCCTTCTGCAATTATGAACATAACTGCATACCTGAAACTGAAACAAATTTCATTCTTTGAAAATGTTATCCTGAGGATAATTTTAAGCATACTTTGTTCTATAAGATTCAAAATAAAAGCTGTACATAGTAAGGATTCTCCATGTGATTAACATT